GAGGAACCAGAGATCAAAATGCCAACATCCACTGGATCATTGAAAAAGCAAGAGAGTTCCAGAAAAACATGTATTTCTGCTTTATTGACTATGCCAAAGCCTTTGACTGTGTGGATCACAACAAACTGTGGAAAATTCTTCAAGAGATGAGAATACCACACCACCTGACCTGCCTTGAGAAATCTGTATGGAGATCAAGAAGCAACAGTGAGCACTGGACATGGAACAACAGACTGGTTCCAGATTGGGAAAGGAGTACGTCAAGGCTGTATATTGTCACCCCACTTATTGTACTTTATTGTACTCTTACTTATGATGTGGAGTACATCATGAGAAATGCTGGACTGGATGAACCACAAGCTGGAATCAAGATTGCCGGGAGCAATATCAATAACCTCAGATATGCAGATGACACCACCCTTATGGCAGAAAGTGCAGAGGAACTAAAAAGCCTCTTGATGAAAGTGAAAGAGGAGAGTGAAAAAGTTGGCTTAAGATTCAACATTCAAAAACTAACATCAAGGCATCGGGTCCCATCACTTCATGGCAAATAGATGGGGAAACAGAGCGGGGGTGGGTGTTATTTGGGGGTGTTGGTTCCAAAATCACTGCAGATGGTGATTGCAGCCATGAAATTAAAAGACGCTTGCTCCTTGGAAGAAAAATTATGACCAACCAAGACAGCTTATTAAAAAGCAGAGACATTACCTTGCCATCCAAGATCCATCTAGTCAAAGCTATGGTTTTTCCAGTAGCCATGTATGGATGTGAGAGTTGAGACTATAAAGAAAGCTGAAAGCCAAAGAATTGATGCTTTTGAACTGTGGTGTTGGAAAAGACTCTTGAGAGTCCCTTGGACAGCAAGGAGATCAAATCAGTCCATCCTAAAGGAAATCAGTCCCGAATATTCACTGGAAGGACTGATGCTGAAGTTGAAACTCCGATACTTTGGCCACCTGATGCGAAGAGCTGACTCACTGGAAAGGACCCTGATGCTGGGAAAGATTGAGGGCAGGAGGAGAAGGGGACAACGGAGGATGAGATGGCTGGATGGCATCACCAACTCGATGGACATGAGTTTGCATAAACTCCGGGAGTTGGCGATGGACAGGGAGGCCTGGCGTGTCACAATCCATGGGATCGCAAAGAGTCGGACACAACTGAGCCTCTGAACTGGACGAAACTGAGAAGCATTTTCTGTGAAAAGTCAGAAAACCGATGGGTTACAGAGCCCACACTTAATTAATATGAAGGAAAGGGCTGAAAGGACTGAGACAGACTGAAATCCCCACCAGAATGAGAGGCAAGCCTCCCCGGGCCCGTCCACGGCAGGAGGACACGGGGTGGGGGTCCAGAGGGGGCCTTGCAGAGTCTCTCTCCAGACTCTTCCTTCTCATTCAGGACTCCACTGAGATGTCTGAGGGAGAATTTTCAGGCACAGAGGAAACATGAGAGCAGAAAATCCCAGCTCTGCTCCAGAGATGCTACAGCAAGGGTGTGACACGGTTTCCAACACACGTCATTAAGAGCTTTGTCCCAGCCTGTGCAGGTGAATGAAGGCCGCAGCCCCTACCAGCTGCCCGTAAGAACAGGGGAGCCCAGATCCTGGACATCAGAGGCCGACCCTACACTCAGCAGACACGCGACACCTACCAGTCTCCAGGTCCTAAGTGACAAGTTTTAACCTCAGCTGGGCCAGCCCCACAGAACCCCAGCACGCAGAGTCACTGTCTGCTCAAGTCACCCCCCGAATATCTAAACCCTAACATAACCCACCTGGACTCCTGCATACTCCTTCCAAACCAGCACCCGCTCCGGTCCTCCTCACCTCAGCGAAGGGCTATTCCATCCTTCTAAGCTGCTCACCAAAAGCCTGCTGTCATCTGTCTCTCACAGCTCACATCTGAGACCCAGATGTGTCTGATGAGGGGTTACTATTCCAAACAAAGAACGCATATATCTCAACATTAAAAAACCAAACAACTGAAAACCAGGTAGAGGATCTAACAGACACACAGCAGTCTGCTCTGCTTAACGGCCAACAGGCACATGAAAAGATGCTCAACGTCTCAAATCATCAGGGAAACGCAAATCGAAACCACAGTGAGCTATCACCTCACACCTGTCAGAACGGCCATCATGAAGAAGATCAGAGATAAGAAATGCCGGTGGCGATGTGGAGCAAAGGGAACCCTTGCACCCTGGTGGTGCGAATATCACTTGGTGCAGCCATTATGGAGAACAGTATAGAGATTCCCCCAAAACTAAGGATAGCATCACCATGCAATCTGGCAATCACACTTCTGGGTATTTACCCAAAGAAAACGAAAACATTAATTGGAAGAGATACATACACCCCTGTGTTCATAGCAGCATCATTTACAATAACCAAGATATGGAAGCAACGTAAGTGCCCATCAACAGACAAATGGGTAGAGAAATCGTGGTATAAATACACAGTGAAATAGTAATGATAAAAACTAATGAAATTTTGCCCTTTTTGACAAAAGGGATAGACCTAGAGGTTATTAAGCTAAGTGAAACAAGTCAGACAGAGAAAGATAAATACTGTATGATATATGTACGGGTGGAATCTAAAAAAACAAAATGAACAAAGCAAATGAACAAACATAACACAGCAGAAGCATAGATTCAGAGAACAAACAGGTGACTGACAGAGAGGAGGAAAATGAGGGAGATTAGGAGGTACAGACTTCCAGCTGAAAAATAAATGAGTCACGGGTATGAAGTGTATAGTGCTGGGAACAGCATCAACAATTATGTAGTATTTTAGGTGGCACTAGTGTTAAAGAATCCCAGCAGACACAAGAGACATGGGTTCGATCCCTGGGTTGGGAAGATCCCCTGGAGGAGGGCGTGGCAACCCACTCCAGTATTCTCGCCTGGAAACTGCCATGAACAGAGGAGCCTGGTGGGCTACAGTCCATGGAATCACAAAGAGCTGGACACGACGGAGTGACAAAGCAAAAAGCCTCAGCATCACCTTCCGCTCACACCCCACATCTGATCTCTCCACTTCGGAATTCATCCAGATTCCCACCCCATGTCACCACCCCCACCATCTCTACCCTGGCCTAAGCTACCACCATCTCCTGCCTGGATTCGCATCATAATCTCCTTGTGCCCTTTTCCCCTCTTATGATCTAGTTGTAACAAGCAGCTGGAACAATCTTGCTAAAATGAAAGTCAGTTCACATAATCTTCTACTCAAAGCCCTCATCTTTGCAGCTCACTTAGCATCAGTGACAGCGAATACCCCAGGGGATGGCCCCCAGGGTCCCACATGCCCTGGCCACAGTTACCTCTCTAACCACATCTTCTCCCCCACTCTACCTCCCTTCTCCAGCCACACGACTTCCTGCCTCAGTCCAGCATGCAGGGGCCCCCCTGCCCCTGGTCCCCAGGTCGTATTTCTCTTTGCCAGACACACTTAGCAGGTCATTGACAACACCTGTTCTTCATCACTCCCTGAGGTCCTTCATCACCCCCTGGGGTCCTTCATCACTCCCTGGGGTCCTTCATCACCCCTGGAGTCCTTCATCACCCCTGGAGTCCTTCATCACTCCCTAGGGTCCTTCATCACCCCTGGAGTCCTTCATCACCCCTGGAGTCCTTCATCACTCCCTAGGGTCCTTCATCACCCCCTGAGGTCCTTCATCACCCCCTGGGGTCCTTCATCACCCCTGGAGTCCTTCATCACTCCCTAGGGTCCTTCATCACCCCCTGAGGTCTTTGCTCAGTTGTTTCCTTCTTAGGGAGGTCTATCCAGCTGCCACTCCAGCCCATCCCCTAGCTCCACCACCCTGTTCCCCCCATTCCCAGGTCCGCCTTCCCTGCTTTATTTTTCTCTACAGAACTTAACAACTTCTAAAGCACCCCACTATTGTATTTCCCCAGCAGAAGACATCTTCATGAGGAAATATTTTCTTCTGTGTGTTTTGTTCACTCAAGTATTCATGGCTCCCAAGACAATGGCTGGCATACATTAGGTGCTCAATAAAAGCCTGCTACGTCAATGAGAGGTACTCTAATCTCCTGGAATTCTGGAAGGGCCTCTGAGGAGCCATGTATACCCTGAAGCCGAGAGCCAAATTTTGTGTTGGATTTCTTTTTTCTCAGAGTCTTTGGCCAGAATCTTAAAGGACCTGATGACTAGAAAGAAGTTGAAGAAACACTTATATAGGCACCTGAATTTAACAAGACGATTATAGTTTTCATCCAACAATGAATAAACTGCATTCACAGCTATCTGCTAAGAGGGGAATGTGTGATCCACGCATGGTCTGATTACACTGGGTTCTCGATTCAGAATTGCAAGCCCAGCATCCCAAGATTTGCCTTGGGAATTGTTTATGAGCAGATAGTGATTAGGCAGCTTTATGATGCTCAGGGTGTCCCTGGGGGCTCAGACGGTAAACAATCTGCCTGCCATGCAGGAGACCTGGGTTTGATCCCTTGGTCGGGAAGATCCTCTGGAGAAGGGAATGGCAACCCATTCCAGTATTCTTGCCTGGAGAATTTAATGGATAGAGGAGCCTCATGGTCTACAGTCCATGGGGGTCATAAAGAGTCGGACACGACTGAGCAACTACATTGTTTGTGAGCCAGAACACCGTTGAGAATGAGTGAAGATGTGTTTTCACAGATTTGAAGCCAACTCTAACATTCACACGGAGCTGGAAATAAAAGGATCTGTTTGGTGGCCCGCACATGAGGAGCAGCTGAAGAATCCAGGTGGGCGGCCTAACAGGCAAAGAGCTGCATGCACCCTGCCTACTCCATCACCTCGGCCCCACCGGGAAAGGGCCGGGACCTGGTCCCCAAAGAGGAAACCCCAAGCCTAGTTCCCACCCGTCCACTTACCCCCAGCTCTGTGACGAAGTGAAAACAAAGGACTCCGCATGCACACCCTCAAGCACCCACCAGGTACACAAATGTCCCTCCATCGGAGCCCAGTTCCACCCCTCGGCACGGCTTACCTTCCCCGATCATTGAGACCCCCACGGACATGCCCATGAACTTGCTTTTGGTCCACACGTGAGTGTTGACACACAGTCTCTTCTCCTTGCACTCACAGTAGAAGCAGGAGATGGGCGGGTGGTGAGACACCTGCTCGGCCACAAACCGCAGCTTGTAGTTCTTGGAAGAGTCGTCGGCCATCGGGTGCTCGTGGCCCACAGGGGCAGGGGGGGCAGTCCTCCTGGCCTTGACCTTGTCCTTGGGAACCTCCCAGGAGCAGTGGAACGTCTCGCCAATGATGGGGTTGTAGGGCTTCTTGGCCAGGGCACCCTTGCGGCCCTCGTGGAAGGCGGTGAGGTAATACTCCACGAAGCCGATGACCCGGTCCTGGGGCGTGGCCCCCGCGGTGACGGCCAGCAGCAGGTCGGGGTGTGCCAGGAAGTCAGCGTACATCTCCAGCAAGGACCGCTTCTCCAGAATGAACGTGGGGAGCACCACCTGTGCCCGGAGGAGGCAAGGTCAGACCACAAGCTCTGCGCTTACAGAGGAAAGCTGAGGCTGCCACCCCCCTCAGGCACGGTCCCCAGGGCCGGCGCCAAGGCCGGTTCCTCGGATGTTCACACACATGACAGATCAGACAGCAGAACATCCGAGGACCTGGAAAGGGCTGCGGCAGCCCCCGTGATGCCCACCCAGCTTCGTGGATGAGACTGTCCTGAGCCGTCTTCCTCTCTGCTCATCCGGGCTGAAACCACAGCCTCTCTCTCCCGCCACAACCGTGGCCTTACTAACATGCAGCCCTCTGTCAACAGCCAGCTCTCCAGCATTTAGAGACGTGAGGAAAACAGCTCCAAAGGGCTTTTTTGTATTCTTCCTGCCCTCGGGCCCTGCCAAGGGAGATGCTCAGTGTACTACCACAAATCCGGATCCTGGGGCTCACGACTGCCGTGTCAAAGGGGGTCCAGACAGACCAACACCCACTGAGAGTTATCTGTTTGGAAATTGCTATAGGAAGAGGAGTACAGAAACCCTATCAGGATCGGGGCAGAAAATGAGCAGAGAAGGGGCCTGGCCCACGTCTCTGGAGGTGAGGCCAGCCAGCAGGCAGTGTCCACTGGGCTCCCACGCACTGGGGCCATGGGTGAGGCTGCCTACGGGCTGGGGCAGGAGAAACGAGCTCTGAAGAAAGACTGGGCTGACAGCAAACGCTTCCGGTAAATAAACTGCCTGGCAGAGGGTCACCCCCCCGTGTCACTGGCCCCAGGACGGAAGACAGCGAGGCGCCTGGAGGGTCCATCAGAGGCCACGGCACTGTGAACTGGTCCAGCGTGGGTCTGAGTGGCCCCTCGTGTGCCAGACCACCCAAACGCCCAGAACCCAGGGACCAGGCCTCCTAAAGCAGGTGAGGGGCCTTCTGGGAAACAGGTGACCCCTCAGCACGCCCGACCTGCTGCCGCCCCTGGTGACCTCTCTGCAAGGTGGCTGTGGGCCAGTAAGTGCGCCCGCCCGGCTGCAAGGGAAGCCTGTGCTGACCTGGGACACCAGCTCACTCAGCTCCTCCTCTCGCTAGGGTCACCGGAAGACCAGTCCTGACCCTTGCACTGCCCGGGTGACAGGAGGGGTTGGCCAAGGTCACACGGCTGGCTTCTGCTCCTCCCTATGTGGCTGAGTCTGTCTGTCTGTCACATACGTGGCCCCAGTCCATTCAAAAGCATCGCCGACCGGGAATATCACACCCAGCCCTGGGACTGGGTCCCCAGTTTGGCCCTCGCTGGAGCCGTTCCTCTCGAAAGGTGGAGACACAGTGGAAGCAAGGTGTCCTGACAGACAGGCGGACACGAGAGAGACAGGTGGACAAGAGACAGACAGGCGGACACGAGAGAGACAGGCGGACACGAGACAGACAGGCAGACATGAGATAGCCTCAAGAACAGCGAAGCACCAATACCTCAGAATAAGCTAGGGAAAGGCCAGCCCACTGGAAGGAGAGGTCGGTGTCCTTAATGCTTTTCTATCTTTCACCTGAAAATGATGTCAGAGGACAGTGCAGCTGTGATGAGTCAAAAGGAGCCAGACATAGAATGAACATGTGACACAGCCCACGGGCCACAGAAGGACCCCAAGTTCAACACATTTCTCTCGGCGACAGAAGTGTCCTTACATTTCTTATGAGTATCTTTCTGCTTTCTTTTTCTAATAAACTGCAAGAGGAAACATCTAAACCACAACCATACAAACTAACGGAGGCCTTCTAACTTTCTTTTGAGCCATGGCTTGACAGATTTGAGCATCTCGGTGCCTGAGGAGTCGAGCTGACCAGGAAAAACGCATCCCGGCTCAGAGGGGCCTTCAGACCCCACTGATCTCGCCTCCTACGGCTCTGGTGGGAGGAGGTCAAGTTCAGCCACCCCCACCTCCCCATGCTCCGTGGGGGCCCAGCTATGCCTCTCATGTCCTCCCCCAACAGAGCCACTCGAGGTCCCCCCAGGGACGCCTCCCACACAGGCTGTGCCAGTTGGGAGCTGTGGATTTAAGCAGCCTTGGAACTCCCCCTCCTTCCAGCCAATAAAGTTAAATTAATTTAAAAAGTAAAGAAAGGGACTTCCCTGGTGGTCCAGTGCCTACGACTCTACACTCCCAATGCAGGGGGCTTGGATTCCATCCCTGGTCAGGGAACTAGATCCCACATGAGAACTAAAGATCCTGTGTGCCACAGCTGAGACCTGGTACAGCCAAATAAAAACGTACATAAAAAAGAAATAAATGGAGAAAAGAACACCGCTCAGAACCCCACACCGCTGATGATTGAAGCCCGAAAGCCTCTTTGGGAAGCTGTGGGCAGCCCTCTGCTTTCACACATGAGGGGACAGATGGGGGAGGGGGCAGGGAAGGCATGTGGAGGGAACCTCCAGGCCCCCGACTGCTCCCCAAGGTGGGTCCATCACCCCGACACCACGATTCTCTGCTTCTGGCCCATGAGAGCATCTTCCTTCCCTCAGTGATGAGCGAGGTGAGCGTTCCCTGGACATCAGAATGGATGGCTGGGCCACCCCCCCCCCCTGCCCCTGATTATGGCAAGGGGGTCAGGAAGCGGCCTAGGGGAAAGGGCGGGACGAGAGCCCCGCTTTCCAGTCCATTTGACTCTTTCCAGGACGACAAGGCAATCCACCAGCCCCAAGCCGTCGTTAACGTGCAGATGGGGGCCTTCCCTGCTGGTCCAGTGTTTGAGAATCCGCTTTCCAACGCAGGGGACTTGGGTTCAACCCCTGGTCTAGGAACGAAGATCCCACCTTCCGCGGAGCAACTGAACCCACGAGCCGTAACTAGAGGAGCCCACACACCTCAGCAGAGACCCAGCACAGCCGGAAGAACAAAACCGAAGCCGGCATTAATATGCAGATGGGAGGAGCCCCTGGTGACCAAGGACGGACACTCCCGGCGCCCCTCCTCTGGAAGAACACAGCTGACACCCCCTCACCCACCCTCCTCTCCGCTGTCACGCCTACCCACCACTTCTTCTCCTCCACACCACAGCTGGGTTCATCTTTCCAAACTCTCTGTAGGAGACAAAGTCCCTCACCTTCTCCAGTCTCACACTATCCCTCATTTTCTGCCTCCAGCCTTCCCCTCACAAGCGTGCATGCACACGTGCGCACGCACACACACACGTTCAGTCCTGTCTCCTTTGCCTGCCCTCCCTCCTGCCTTGTCTCAATGAGAAACAGCTCAAGGGTAACCTCCTCTAGATCTCTCCTCTCAGTTCCTGCTCCCAGGCGAACCCACCCACCGGCTCCTTGACTGTTCCCGTCAGACACCGCCATTGTAGCGTCTCCAGGGCTCTCTCGCTTTGATCCATGCTAAAAAGGGCGTTATTGGGACAACTGGGGGACATTTATTATGGGTGTGTTAGGGGAAGCATCCTGAAACCGCAGACTCTGGCCAGGCACCGTAATAACCATTTGTGTGAGTTATTTTACGACAGGAAGTCCTGGTAAGGAACACGGAACTAAGCCACCAGCAACCGGAAGAGCTCGGGAAAGGTCAAAAGGAGACACCACGTGTCCGTCCACCTCCCACCTCCTTCTCGTCGGCGTCCATCTTGGCGGAGCAACGCATGCACCACCGCAGACAACCTGGAAACTAATCCCATCACCACAAAACCCGAGTCTGCGGAGCCACGTGGCGGGGTGGCTCTGGGTTCCCAGCCCCTGCTGCTCTCCACCTGACGCCCCTGCCCAGTGAAGTCTCTTGCCTTCTCAGCATGTATGTCTCGTCCGACGGTTCATTTCTGAGTGGTAGACAAGAGCCCACTCTCGGGCGCTGGAAGGGCTTCCGCTTCCTGCAACAGGAGTGGAGGAAACAGCGCGGCATCGATGTTAAACCTTCCCAGGGTGACAAGTGAGTCATGCCGGAGAATGTCCTTGTCAGGGAAGTGATGATTTGCGCGGCTCCACTCACTCGAGGGATATCAGGGAGGAGCGCCGCGTCTGCGACCTACTCTGAAATGGCTCATCAGAAAACTAACACGGACAGACACGCGCCTGTGTTCTTACGATGGACCGCGAGAAGCAGCAGGGGGACTGGGAGAGGAGGAGGAAGAGAGAAAAACGCAAAACGGCAACATGTTGACAACTAGCTGATAAAGGTGAAGAATGTATGTGCAAGTTCATTGTTCTCTTCCTGCAACTCTGCTGGAGACGGGAAAATGTGCAAAACAAAGAGTTGAAAGGAAAAGAAAAAAAGGCTCTACTAGGGATGCAACATCTGGGAATTGACTAGTTGTCCCAGACAATGCTCCTGAAATGAAAAGATGCAGGGAATGTGGTCTCACAGCCAACCGCGGGTCCCACCCACTAGGCGTGTGTTCTGCACTTGGTGATGCTGTGTTGCTGTCAGCTCTGGGAAAAGCAGAATTCCCGGAGAGCTGGAGGAGAAGGGGGCAGCCGTGGGGTGACTGTCTCCCCGTTTATCTCTTGCTGCTGTTTGTGCAGAATATCCAACCCACGTCTTTCAAACCAGCACCGTGACCATCCTGGGCAAAGACGTCACGCTGCCCTCTAAAGTCGATTCTCTCTCGCCTATGGTCCCTCCCTGACATTCTTTTTTTGGGTCCCTTTGCAAATCAGTCACTTAATCATCTGTGTCTTGGGCGGTGGACACTGTAGACACGAGAGCCCAGAAGTGGGGAGGACTCATCGGGCTGCCTGTCTCCAGCAGAGAAGTGAGCGACGGCCCAGCTGCTCAGAATGACGGCCGCCAAAGGGCTGAAAGCACTACTGCAGATTTATCAAGCCATCCGTCAGGGCTGCCTTTTCTGTCATTAACATAATTAAGACCATGTACTACTTTGGGGAAAAGGAAAAAAGATCTGCACTTGGGAATCAGAGAAAAATTAATTACAGTTAAAGTGGCAGCAGTCTAGAAGTAAAGAACTACCCTTTGGGTTGGGCTCCGAGAATCTGGAAACAATTGACTGCCCACTGAGAAGGCCAAAGGGT